CTCGCTCCCCCCCCCCCACCAGCAGACCAGGGAGACGGGGGTGGCGGGACTGCCCAACTCCTCCACGGCTTTGCTCCGTCTCCTTGGTCTGCTGACTTGGGAGACGCGGAGCAAAGCCGCAGAGCACGCGGGCAGTGGGACAGTCCAGGCGCGCCGTGGCTGTCCCACTGCTGGCATGCTCCGAGGCTTTGCTCCCCATCTCCCTGGTCTGCTGGTCGGGAGACGGGGAGCAAAGTCGCGGAGCATGCCCGCAGCGGGACAGCCCAGGGAGACGGGGAGCAGCGGGACAGCTGGCAGAGCAGGGAGACGGGGAGCAGCTTTTCTCGCCCCGGAGGACAGGGGTGGCGGACCGCAGCGCATCTGGGCGTCCCGCCGCTCCCGTCCTCCGGGGCGAGAAAAGTCCCGTTCGTAACTGCGGATCCGACATAAGTCGGATCCGCATAACTCGGATCCACGTAACTCGGGGACTAGACGGGGAGCAGCGGGACAGCTGGCAGAGCAGGGAGACGGGGAGCAGCTTTTCTCGCCCCGGAGGACAGGGGTGGCGGACCGCAGCGCATCTGGGCGTCCCGCCGCTCCCGTCCTCCGGGGCGAGAAAAGTCCCGTTCGTAACTGCGGATCCGACATAAGTCGGATCCGCATAACTCGGATCCACGTAACTCGGGGACTGCCTGTATTCAGCTGCTCATAGTTCCTGCCACATGTGCCATTTACTCTACAGAAAGATTCAGGATTTTTTCAGACCGCGTAAAGAAAAAAAATGACTGAAAACATTTTCCTCAAGATCTCCTAACCTTTAGGCAGTAACCAAGAATGGAAAGTGAAGAGCCTCCTTGAAATTTACAAGCAAATGGCAAAGAACCGAATGAACTTTTGGGTGCTGTGGTAGTGAAGGTAATAAAATGGGAATTGTTTTGCAACTTCAATTACAGCATTTACTACAAACACACACTACAGTGTTATGCAGGTTGGTGGTCTCTTATTCAGTGACTTAACAGGCATCACACATTGGTCCATAATTGGTACCAGCGAACGTGCTCTTTCCTCATGCGAGGCCCATGCCTGCAAGAGCCGGGGCTGCAAACAAGCAAGACTAAAAAGCAGAAGCAGAGCACTGGGGAGGGGGGGAGGAGGGGTAGAAGAGACTGGAATAGCAGATATGATACATGTTCCTTTCTTGGGTTTTCAAAGCCCCCGTATTCATTCATTTCTACTAGTCTACTTTGCCATTAGCTGGTCCCCTTTCCTCAACTGCTGTAGCTGCTTCTACATAGATTCCCTTTACCTGTAAGTCAACCTTCAATCCTGTAGGGGAGCCTGGATGACCCTGCCTGGACCAAAACAACATCTGCCTTGTCCACAGTATGAATCTCTAACAAAGCAAAACTCAGGCCTGTCTCAAGTCTGGGGCATATAGCACGCAGGAAAGGCTGGGGAGAGCTTTCCTTAATAACACACTATTCAACCACATCTCCCTACTCACTTAAAATAGCTTTGGGGACAGGAAAGAAGTTTCCATATTTCTTGTTAAAGTGTTGTGCTATATCTCGAGTCAGTTCCAGGTGCTGGACTTGATCTTCTCCAACAGGAACATGTGTTGACCTTTTAATAAAAAACAGATACAGGAAACTCAGCAAACTTCTCTGGTTCTATTGAAACATTACCTGAGACTGTCACAGTTCCTTCCATGACTAAGGGTCGGACCGAGCCAAATGTTCTATCACACCTTCCCACTGACTCTATGCGTTGGATTATTTTACTCAAGATGTATTTTTCCAGGCAGAAGTCTCGTTATTCTTGCCTACTCTATATTCCCAAACCATCTATGCCTTTCTGTATCATCTATCTGTCCTTGTAGGAGTTGATGAACCCACACAACTCATACAATGTGTACTCTCTCTCGGAGATTCATTAAGATTTTACATATTACTGGACTTAACTATGCTTCATTTAGAGATGCAACCTTTTCATGCATTACCGGCTTTTTTTATCTCAGTCTGATCAGCCTAGGAATCAATAAAGGACTGGTGAGTCAGCCCTGGGTGGGGAAAACGTCAATGTAGGTAGGAACCATGGGGAAGCTGGAGAGGAGTGGGAATAAGCATGAAGTCAGGCTGCTAGCACTGGGTAGGAGGGGAGGAAGAAGAGGGATCAGGTTTGCAAGAGATGTGTGAGGGAAGAAAAAGAATGAATAGCTGAAATAAGGGTATTGCCTACATTTCCTCAGTACAATACACTTCTGAAGCTGGAAGAAAGAGTTCCAGTGTGAACAAAAAAAATGCAACTTTACAGTTTCCCAATTTGCAGAAGGACTTCTTCAAACAGGAGACCATATGGCTACCTGACGTTTTGTTGGTGCCAAGCATTAGCCCTCATGTCTTAGTGGGGAGTTTTGCTAATCTAACATTGAAGATAACTGACTAGTATGAACTATGCTTCTGTAACGGGTCTCAAATTTCTAATGTGGACAACACTTGGGATTTAGTTTCCACTTTGTGCAGCATCTACACCAAAACGTGAAAATAAATGTAGGCGAATTTTAATAGAGATGTAAAATGTCCAACTAGACACTAACTTTTTCTAGCTTCATAGCAGATCCATCATGGGAAGTATCAACATTACTCAGCTCTGACCTTGAGGATCCATAACTAGTTTAGTCTCTGTGGCACAGTCAGTCAATTCAACACAGCTGCTAAATGGATCAGTTAGTGTTAGTTTTATTGGTGATTTAAGTGACATACACTAAATTTTTCTGAAGTGATTAACTTTCCTTTGCCAATACCAGCCAATGGCTTTCCAGTTGCCTGACATTTAATAACTATTGACCTGGGCAAGATTTTAACCAGTGACTGAAAGATGAAAGATCCACTCCCAATCCTCTCAGCTATTCATACCCCTTAGTAATTTAACACGTTGACCCAAAAGCTTTCATTTTCTAGCACCTGAATAGACATTGCCTGTGGGCTCACACTCTGTCTCTTACTTGTACAGCAGAATATCGGCAGCTTGAAGCACAGGGTAAGTGAACAGACCAACAGTTCCTTCATAATTCTGGCTGGCATTCTTTACCTGTATGCAAAAGAAAGATATAGAGAAATCATCCTTTGGTGAATGATGTCAAAGTCTGATTCTGAAAACCAAAATTTTATTTTGATTTTTTTTTTAAGTTTCAGTTACCGTGTCTGCTTCATTCACTGACTCTGTCATTCTAGCAAAGAAGCATACCCAACAGAATTCATGCTTTATCAATGCCCAGGGCCACATGCTGCTCATGGACCAGTTATTTTCTAGAGATAGTTATAGATCTTTTCTCCTAATATTTGTTGTTATTTTACTAGGGGGAGAGATTAGATGTTGTGAGATGGTATCTGCCAAACTCACTCCTTTTTTGTTTGGGTATGTCTACACTAGCCCCCTAGTTCGAACTAGGGAGGCTAATGTAGGTTCCCGTCTGGGCGCCATTTTTAAATCCCCCTAGTCCGAACTAACTGCCCGCGGCTACACATGGCAGTCAAACGTTAACTCGAACTAAGTCTTTAGTTCGAGTTAACTGTTACACCTCGTGGAATGAGATGTAACAGTTAACTTGAACTAAGGACTTAGTTCGAGTTAACGTTTGACTGCCGCGTGTAGCCACGGGCAGTTAGTTCGGACTAAGGGGTTTTAAAAATGGCGCCCAGACGGGAAGATGCAAATAAAGCCCGGGATATTTAAATCCCAGGCTTTATTTGCAACTTCGAATGCCTACATTAGCCTCCCTAGTTCGAACTAGGGGGCTAGTGTCGACATACCCTTTGTTTGTTTGTTGGAAAACTGGTACATAGCACTTGCTTTTATCCAAAGCCCTGGTGCCCTCCAGATTAACCCATTTTTCTGTAAATAGTTTTCAGAGGTTCATAAGTTCAATACCTAATTACTTTAACACCCTAAATGCATATCATCTGGACCAGCTGGTCTGTAGAGGTTTAAGTTTTTCAAGTATCTAGTTTCCTGCTTTTTATTTTAACCGTAGCTACATTTAAAAATCCTTAAATTCTGTCCAGACTTCTTCAGATTTTCCTTTACCTCCTTTCCTCTCTCTGTCATGCAGATCATACTTTCCTACCTCCGTTTCCAGGCTTTTAAATACAGGGGACCTGATGCCAAGCACCTGCAGCATCTATTTGTGGGTTTTTAAAATCCAACCACTTATATTTAGATTCCTAAATCTGGCTTTACAAGTCTAACTTGAGAAACTTATATTTCAAAAACTTGGCTTTAATCTAAGTTTTGTATTAACACTATTGCATTTACATTTGAATGGGTTTATTTAATTAAGAAAAAAAACTATGAAGGGGAGAAAAAACATCCACAAACATCTGGAGGTATTTAGTCTGCTCCGGTTGTGAATTCAGTAAACCAAATTACTCTGGATTTTTTTTTCCCCTTCTCATTGCTTGTCTCTCTCCTGACTCCTTTTGTAAGATAGTCTTTTGGGTTGGATTAGGGCCACTTGCCATGACCCAATGCCACCACAAGGTTGGCCCAGGTGAGGCCCAACCTCTTAGCTTTTGGGTTCATGCTCCACCCCACCCTTGAGGGCCTTCTTATTTTGTTTATGGATGGGAAAAAGCAAAAGCTCAAGCTGAACAGAGGAGAAACTCCCTCCAGGGCCAACAAAAAGAGAAAAGATCAATGATACCACCTTACTTCTAGAGAGGAGAAGTAAGGTGCCTAGAGAGCAGAGCAGCTTTACTGGATTCCTTCCAGCAAGGTAGCCCAAATGCTGTCCCCATGCCAGGCTTGTCTCTAGAACTAAATTGACTTTTCCCAGAGAGTTGGTGATATCTAAACACTCAAGTAAGGTCTCCTTGACCCTCCAATAGTCCTGGGCTGCTGACAAATCACGTTCATAGCGAGCAGCTTGAGCCAGTTCTGACAGATAGCACCAATAGGATGGCCCAGTGCTCTGAGGACCACACCACGGCAGATGCCACCCACTCAAAAGTAAAGAGAAATGCCTTGGGATCATTGGTGGTACCCATCTTGGCCATCTTCACAGAAGTGGGTGTTGAGTTTAGAGGCCCCAAGGTTAGTGGCGACCACAGCCCTAGATGGCAACGGGTTGGAGAACTGACAGCATCTGTTGCACCAGGTTCTGTTGTTCTTATTGTCATATGGCTAATTCCCTTATCAGCTGTTAAAGCGGCTGCTGCTGTTGCAGGGTGCTCTGGCATTGCTGATTTTCTGTGACCCCTTTTTAACAGCCATTCCAGATTCTCTACAAGGTTGTTTGTCAGGATTTTCTCAACTTCAAACGTCTTTTCTTCTTTCCCTCATTCGCCCCCCCCCCTTTCAGCAGAGCTGACCATGTGCCCACATTCTCCACCACTTGTAAGAAATTCTTTCTGGGGCACTTCTCTAGCTGGTTTGGGGTCCCTTGCCATCTTCATAGGGCTGCCCCAGTTCAGACCACAGCTTCTTAGCCCTTGCAGACTTCTTTCTTTCTTTAGGGTGAAGAAAGCAAAAGCTCAGAGTCAACAGAGAAAAAAAGCCAACCCTCCAGGGATCAGCAAAAACACCAAAAAGATCATAGGCACCACGTTACTTCAGGGATGCCTTGCGGCTTTACTGGAGTCCTTCTAGGTAGGTGGCCCAATCACTCTCTCCCTGCCAGGCTTGCCTCTGGGGATCACTGGATTCTTCCCAGAGCTCGGGAGATTTCCTTCTGCTGCTTCAGGAGATTCTCCAGCTGCTCCTTTCTCAGGACTTCTTCCTTGCTGACTGCAGCTTCTTCCTCTGAGAACCTCCTACTCTACCATGCATGGTTGGAAGGGCAAGAGAGTTGGGGCTACCTTGGCACAGAACCTCCCTTGCGCCCCTTGTCAGTGTAAGGTTTACGCACGACTGCCACTTCTGGTTTCTCTTCTTAATAAATAAAACCCAAGAACATTAAATGAAAAAAACATTATTGGTCAATACTAAGAAATTAAGCACATTTGTCATGAATGGCAAGGGGAAAGATTTTTCAGAACATCAATTTAGCCACGGTCATCTTTAGTAATGTTTATTTCTGTATCGCTTTTAAAATGTAAACCTTAATACATCCCATACCATACAACAACACAGAATGGTCAACTTACATTGCAGGAGACTTATTTATGGAATTTCCTTACTGTGACTGCTTGATATTTTAGCCTTAATGTTGTGTTATAGTTACTGCACCTCATCATTTTACTAGGCTTGAAATAAGAACTTTAAGCATTTTGATAAATGATTAAAAATTCTAGTCTATAACTGAAAGCCTCCTGTAAGTGCTTCTGTATTCTCTGCTTATACAGGTATGCTGCTTTGTAACCTCCCCACAGCAACAGCTTCACTGACTCACAATATACAGTTATGTCTCCGATAGTAATAGCATTGTACAGAGTTGTTTTCTTTCCTCTTCCTGAAGTGACTCCATCACCTTTTAGTAAGAATGACTGGCCCTGTGTTTATAATCCACAGGCAACAGAAAGTTTTACATGAAGGACAATACTGTTCTTATTAAATTCCCTGAAATCTCTTTTCAGCTTAATATGATGATCGTATAAACCTTACCTTCCACTGGGGAAAGCATTGTAGACGTGGCATACTGGTTAAGCACCCAAGAATCCAACTGAGTTCTGCATGTTCAGGCACCTAAAAAAAGCCATGAAAAATCAGAATTGATTTAATGTATTTTCATTTTCACACATCATTTCTAGATAATGTACAGCCAGTAAAAGCTATCAAACCAGAGACTGGCAAGATTAGTTTGTTTTTGGCTAACATTTTTTCAGAGATTTTGGTGCTGGTGAGAAGGAACAGACGGCCCTGGTAACTGAAGATCTATACTGAGCCAGAGTACAAGTACAATTCCTGCAGTGGCAATACAGGCTTCCCCATGCTGCCTGGCTAGCCTGCCCTCACTGACCAAGAAAGAAAATGGTGGGAATGAAACAGGTTTTTATTTTTCATGTTCATTCAGTGGGCTTGGGGTTACAGTACAGGACTGTGAGATCACCTGGCTTCTACTCAATTTGCTGTGACAGTCAAACACTTCTTTGTGCTTCAGTTGTCTTATCTATAAAATGGGGACCTTTTAAGTAGCCTGCATTTTGTGGGCTTGCCTGGGGCATCGGGACGGTCCGGGAGAGATTGGGGGGCCAGCTTAAAAGCCAGTTCTCCCTAGCACTGGCTCTGGTGTGCCACCTGCCCCTGTTCCCCCGCTGCTGCCTCTGTATCAAAGGCAGCAGTTGTGTGGGAGCCAGCTTAAAAGCCAGTTCTCCCTAGCACTGGCTCTGGTGTGCCACCTGCCCCTGTTCCCCCGCTGCTGCCGAGAATTTTTAACTGGCTCCCCTTGTTGACCAGCTCCCACCTGGCACCATGCGCTGCTGTCTCTGAATCAGAGGTGGCAGGGGGCTCCTCGGGAGTGGGGCCGGATTGCAGTGGCTGCTGGCCCTGCCACCAGTGACTATAGAATAGTCGACGAACTGCTAAGAATTCATGCAGTTAAGTCAACTATTCTATTACCCACTTGTGACGTAGCGGGGGTGCGGTCTGCTCTGTAACCTGGGGTCTCCCTGCACTGTGATGTGTAATTCCCACTGCCGTAGCGGGAGTGCGGTCTGCTCTGTAACCTGGGGTTTCCCTGCACTGTGATGTGTAATTCCCACTGCCTCACTCACATGTGTACTGGCCTAGTCCCAGCTTGAGCAGACAATAAGTCTCTTCCCAGAGGGAGAGACAAAAAAAGGGAGGAATAGACGGCTACCTGGCTGGGGGAAGGGTCTGGGAGCGAGGCAGTTGCTGGCTGGGAAACATGAAGGGAACAGACTAAGCTGAGTGCTGAGGGGGCAATGGATCCCCTAACCCAAGGGTGTGAGGCACCCTGGCCCTGACTTCTGTAATCACATCATGTCTGTGTTGTGCTGTATCCTGGAGAAGCAATAAACCTTCTCTATTCTACTGGCTGGTGGAGTCTGTTCTGGCTGCTACGGGGGTGCAGGATCGGGGAGAACCCTGATGCGCCATCACACCGCTAACTAACATCTCTAATCAGAGCTAGTAGAAATATGTTGCCTTGGGCATCATACCCCCGCTTGAAGTTTAGACATACCCTCAGATTTAGACATACCCTCAGATTTAGACATACCCTCAGATTCACATCACAGATCTCTACCATGCAAAGTCATTCACAGAGTTTAAGGTCATAAGGGGCAATGACACCATCTATCTGACCCTCCTGTGTATCACAGGCCAACAGACTTCACTACTTAGCCCAATGACTTATTTGATGACTTAGCCAAATAATACAAGTTACCTTTCATAAAGGCATCCAGTCTTGATTTGAAGATAGCAAGATATACAGAATTCATCACTTCCTTTAGTAGTTTGTTCCAGTGACTAATCACTGTCACAATTAAAAACAATGCTTAATTTCTAATTTGAATTTCACTGGCTTGAGTTTTCAGCTATTGGTTCTTGTTATGTTGCCCTTTTCTGCTAGACTAGGAGCCATTTTATATATCAGAGTGATAGCAGCTGCAGTCTGTTAACTAATGTAGGGAACAGTTGGTTTCACAGCTATTTGCTGGACAACAGATGAAACATTGGGACTCTGGAATCCTAAATTCTAGTCCAGGTTGTGGAGAGGACTGTGCTTCAGTGATTCTATCCCCACAGTCTACCTCTGTCACGTCTGTGAATGCAATCAGGCTGCTTCCTTCTCTACACTGCCTCAGCATCAGCAGGGATGGAAGGCCCAATCACAGGCAAGACAATCTCCCTGCGCTCAGTTTCAGCACCTGGTACCACAGTGAAGCCTAGGAGCCAAGATGTACAACCACAAGGGAAGTTGTGCTAAGCCTCTGCAGCAGTGAGCTGGAACATGCTGAGTGCAGACAATCTTCAGGTAGTTTAAATGCCAAACTAAACAAAACTCTTTTAGCATGTATAAATAGTGATTTTCAGAGACTTGTAACTTGGCCAGATACACAGGGATTTTTATGGAGATAGCAAAAAGGCACTTCTCTCACTCTACGTGACAATATTCCCTCTCTACCTCAGACATACCCCAAATTTGCATTAAATAACTAGTTCATCTCAACTAAATGGTTGCAAAATTTAACATTTGTAAAACAACTTATTTTTCCCCAATCGCATTTTGACGAATGATTGATGCCAAAATTAAAAATAAAAATCAGGCACATGAAATGAAAAATTTCAACTTCAGTGATTAAAGTTGTGCAAAGTTTCAAGCAACTGAAAACAGGGTCTTAGAAGAGAAATTGTTCAGCAACGTTAACTAGCGATGCAACAATCAGCTCTGCTCATAGCAAAATTCATAAGAGATTACAGATGTCCAAGGTGATGTAAAATGATCAGAAATTATGGGAACAGAATGGAGATTCAATGGGTATTCCTGCAAATTACTAAATGTAATAGGAAAAAGAAAAATCAGAGAGTAAAATTTTCTCTAAGCTTTCCACAGACTATTTTAATAAGACAATGTAACTTGAGTTCAAGCAACTGCATAAAAGAGCCGTCAGTAGATGTGCATGCTGGATGGAGATGAAGAAAAACCAGAAAAAGTCCATCCATGGAGCAAAGCAAATAAAATCTTCCAACTCCCAAAGTAGCACTCAAGGATTTATTCAGCAATGAATAAAACCACAATTTAGGAGATGTCAACTCAACCTAATAAGAACATCACTATTAGTAACTTAGACTAGCAGCTATCTAATCTAATGACTGTCAGCTCCAGCTGCTTTTGTGTCCGAAAGGATATAAGTATAAGAAAACATTTCTTGCAGTTTGGCCCAAGATATTTTACAGAATATCGGTCTTAAGTTTCCCTTTGGAAACTAGCTCTCTCATATTTAGTAGTTTTTGCTAAAACAGTAACTACATCCATGTGATAAATCCCACTATTGGGCCACTAAGTTCACGCCTTTGCTAAATTTATCATGTTTCTGCCGTTGGCCTCTTCTGCATGTTTGTGTGTTTGAGTTCAAGTCTTCCAGTTTCTCTTCTCCCATTCCTACATCTTTCCAAAGCTTTCACAAGCCAAAAAAAACTAAACACCGCTCAGAGGGTTGGGAGGGACTGTCACTTTCCCACACGTAACAGCGATGCAGAGGTTCCAGGTCCCTTCACCTTCAATCCTTTTTGCATCAAATCAGCACTGAAGCACGAGCATCCTTTCTGTTGATCATGGATAGAAGTTATTTCCACTGCAGACTCCTGGAACTTTCCCCTGTGGGGCTCACGTTTGGGCTATGATTAATCAGTATTCAGACTTTTAAAAATGTCAGCGACATTTACAGCAAACATGGTTACATGTCACAGATCCAAGCAGTTCCATGGAACTCCAACATGTTTCCCTTCTTTCTCATTTGCTGCCCAGTTTGCCCCTCCATACAGACAAATGGCTTTTCAATTGTCTACTTCTCTCTCTCTACCTTAGGATCCTGTGATCATCTGCAATTCCCATGCTGCTCAAATAAAGTCACAGTACCATAGAGGGCCAATTTCACCTTCTTATTAATACACTAAAAACACTAAAAAATTGAGACCCAAATCTAAGGCCCGGGGGCTGCATGTGGCCCGTCTTGCTTGGATCTCCCCCCCCCCCAGCTCTGGGGAGCCCATGCTGGAACTCCAGCCCCCCCCAGCACCTCCCTGCAGAGTTGGAGCACACAAAATATACTAGCCTGGGACCCCAAGGCTCTTGTGTGAGAGGAGAATGTGGGGAGTGTCTTTCTCCTCCTCAGTTGGGAGCCACGTCAGTGAGGGTTTTTTTGCTCCTCACTTGTGTGCGGACCCAGATTGATTTTTCTGTGGGTCAGTGGCCCCCAACCCAAAAAAGGTCCACCCCCCGTTCTATAGATTCTTCTATACGATGTCTCTCCCACACTCTAGCTCTCTTCTACCAGCTGACGACTGCACTTTTCTGATCTCCGCCCCTGTAGTTTCAGTGGAATGTATAGTTTTGTCAGTTAAACAATGCCTATCACTTGTGGGGTTGCAAAGGGGCCAACATTTCCTGCTTTTGGGTGCTAAATGTTCCCTGGCTAGCACAACAAATCACATTCACTCCTTTCTCTCTTTCATGGCAAGATTTCATTCTAGAAACAGCTACTGTTTGCACAGTTCCCCTGATACGGGGGTTCCTTACATCGTAAGTGACCTCATTCACTCTCTCCATTGAAAAAGTACTTCTCAATAATCCTGCATTTTGTTCCTCCTCCCTGGATTGAACACCAACCCCAAATCTCTTGCGTCGAAAGCTCTCTCTTCAGCATGCCTGCCATACCAAGTTTTTTGAGTCACCTGACTCCTTTCAAGGTTTTGCTGCACTAAATCCATCATAGCCTTTAAATTCTCTTTAAAATGAATGACATACTCCTCTGCAGACTGTAGTGTCTCCTTTGTACTACCCTCCCAAGAGCCTCAAATCATCCCCTCACATGTATTCCATAAAGGAGATCAAAGGGGGCAAAGCCAGTAGATTTTTGCGGTACAATTCCACTTGTGGATAACAAATAAGAGAGTAACACGTCCAAGTCATTCTCTTGCCTGATAGCATACATCTTCAGCATGGCTTTCAAAGGCCCCATTAACTATTTCCATCAGACCATTAGTTTCTGGATGATGGG